TAACTTTTGTTTATTACTAAAATCTTTATTTAAATAATATTTTTAAATATAATAAATATTATAATTTTATTACAATAGATATAAAGTAGCTATATTTTTGAAATTCCATTTCAGTCATTATTGAAATTTATATACATGCAAAATTCATCAATCATCTAATTTTTGATTTATATGTTATACAAGCTTATAATTTTACAAGTGATCAACATTGGTATTATTAATTAACTTTAAGAATTATGAGAGGTCAGTTACTTATGACCGCTACTGTACGTACGCAATTACCTATTATATGATTGTCAATTACTTTCGAATAAGGTTATGAGTAAAGGGCTCTGGTTTCGACGATGTGCATGAAACTCTTTATAAATATTTAACGAAAATAAACAATTTAGTATTAAATTTCTGATCTTTTCTTGCGGTAGAAAGTATTTCTGGTTGTATAAATTATTTTGGGTAAAATTTTTTGAATATAGGCACGAAAGTGTTTAAATTTGTCCTGAATATACCATATTAGATAGATAAAGAAAGAAAGAAAGAACTACGAAATGATTAAAGATATAATAATGGTATAAAATGCTGTAATAGAATCCGAAAATTTGAGGATAAAGAAATAATAATTAAATTGCAAATGCGGAATTTTCAATTGTGTTACATAGGGTTAAAACGAGATCAATGAAGTATCTAATAAATTGACATCATTAAATAGTTGTTTATCAGCGGATATTTTTTTTTTTGATAAAATCATCAATACGTGAAAATAATATTTTTTTTGCATTAATAATGGACAAAATTTATTGCGAGCCATATAATTATAAAACCGAATATAAGAATAATAATTGTAAAGATATTTTGAATTTTATTTATATAATCAATGACTAATACTATATAAAGAATTAAAATAAACGTAATTCTATAACTTTATTATTAAATATTAGAAACTGTTGATTAAATATAGAAATTATTACTTATTAAAATGAGTTGTTAATGAAATAAATAAATTAGATTAAACTTCGGCATATGCACAGCCTATAACATCAGTATTTGAATTACCCATAGCAATCATCATAAAAGACAAATGAGGTATACTGCCTGGTGCTTGAATTTCCACCGTTTTGGCATACTGGTCACCAGCTTTAATTGAACATCCACTTCCAGTACAAGCAGGAAATTTAGCTGGGGATTTCGACCCATATCAACAAATGCAATCGCAATTTCGGTACTTTCGGTGATATCTTCCGCAAATTTTCCGGAAATCGTAACTTTATCCTTTAGTCCAGCGACAGGAACTTCGGGTGAAAGTGTTACTTGGAGTAAGGGTGGTTGGGACATTGAACCATCAGGTGACATTGTATAAAGCCGATGGCTCTTCTAAGGAGGTTATGTGGAAGTGCATTGACCATGGAGAGCGTGACCAATAAGAGGAATGCTAAAATAAATTTTCGGTTCATGATGATGATTTCTTTGAGAAGTTGAATATGTCGAGTTTTTTTTTTTTTTTTTGGTGGATGTTAGTTATCAAATAAGTTGAATTCTTAAATTCAGAGTAAATAGAAATTAGTTAAGCATGTAAAAAATGGCTCAAGTTTCGTGATACCTTATCTGAAAAATGATTGAACGATCGGATGATCAGGTATTTGGCTGAGATTTTCTTTTTCTATATTTGTTATGGATCTGTAGTGCGAGAAAGAAAACGTTTTGTTATAGTTCTTGATCATTATAATGTTCGTTCATTCAGAGATTATTAGAAACGATCGGCTCTGAATGATCATGAGCCAGGAAAAACATCAGTTTTAAAAAACCGATTTTTTTGGGAAGAAAGAAGCTAAAAAAAAAAAGGCAGTTACTATGAATAAAACATTCTTCCGCTCCATTATAGGTGAAAAAATCCTTGACTAGCACCATTTATTTTTTTTAAAATTTATATGACAGGAATATTTTTTTTTATTGCGCGAATTGGTTTAATTTATATAATTTATGTAGAACAAAGATGTAATATTTTTTTTCTAGAATTTAAAAAATGAGAAACGATTGAATATCATTTTTGTGAGACTGAAAATTATTTTTTATCTAGTAAACTCAATTGAGATTAAAGTTCAGCCTTTATATGTAACGATTTTCTTGATCTATTTAATGTCGATAAAAAAAAATTATTTTTTTTGTCAGACCGTAGACCGTAGAATAAAAGTCGTTAAAGGTTCGAAGGGAAAAATTTGATTGTGTAACACAAATATGAAATGCATGTAATAGGTGTCACTGGGACTATAGTTATAGTGAGCGAAGATACACTATTTATTTATTTTAACTTAAGTATATGGGAGAGTGAACCAAAATTTCGACTGTGATATCTATCGGTCAAATTAAAATTCAACACGATCACTTTTTATCACGCTTTTTCTCCTCTTCATACCCTTTTTTTTCAACGTTTTCTTCTCTTTTCGTAATAAACTCTACCTCACTTTTCTCAAACTGTTTCAATAGCTTTTTTATAAACATATTATATTACTCTCTTATAATGGAAACTAATAAAGACATTTTTTCCTTTTAACTCCTCTGAACTGAACTTAAATGAAGTTGTTGAAATTCTCGATGAGTATGATGATGAAGATGACCATACAGATGAAGAAAGCCAAGGAAATGCTTAGAATTAAACTCAGGAATGGATAGGCACTAACTTTGGCTTATTAATAGTGGCATTATACGTAGACATTTTTCTCGAGTTATGTTTTATTAAAAAAAAATAAAAATAGATAATGATCTAAAAAAAATTAAATTAAATTTTTTTTTTTGTTATTTTTTTTTATATACACGAAAGATTAAAAAGGAGTTTTTCGTTCGATAATATGACTAAAAAACAAGACTAAAAATAAACAACAAACAGGACGCTATCTATGCAAAATCATTCGATAATAAGACTAAAACTAAAAAAACGAGACTAAAATAAACAACAAATAGGACAATACAGATAATGCGCTATCTATGCGCTATCTATACAAAATCAGATAAGATCCCGAATCAACAAAAATTTTAACTAACTATAACTAAATAAATTTATCTTGATTTAAAACTTTTGTCAATTTTATTTTTTTCTTCTTGAACTAAAAATTTTTCTCAAACAAAAAATGTATCCTCTTTTGTTATTTATAAACTATAAAAAAAAGGACGAAAAGAAAAAAACACAAAAAACGCAAAAAAAAAGAATAATGATATCTATATTTGCTACCATTTCCCTTATTGAAACAACTTCTGATAATGTCACTAACAGGAATTGCTACATACCGAAGTGACGAAGATGGATTCGTAAGCTACAACTACAAAGCATTTAACTTCGCTAATAATCATATGATTAATCAAATTGAGCGAAATAAAATTATGCTAATTATTGGTAAATATATATTTATTATATTTTTAAATAATTATACTAATTAAATTAAAAAATATTTCTTTTTTCTAACTTTTATTTTCTTTGATAATATAACCAAAATCAACGTACAAAAAATGACGTCATACTTCAACACCAATGGTATACCAGCATCACGACGCCAATTCCCAATTCAGAATGCATTTGCATTAAACTGTGCACAAAACACAAAGTCTCACACTACCTCACGCCACCCTAACGATCCGATGAAAACATGTTCTCAACCGGTCAAGTATACGTAGCGATGAGCAGAGCCCACTCGTGGAGCTCTATAAGAATAATATCCTTCGATTTTGAATCCCTTAAAACTGACAAGGAAGTTCTCGCAGAATACAGAAGGTTAAGACACATAAACCAAAAAGGTCTAACGAAATTCCGAACCAACCACTAAATAAAAGACCCGATAATAAAAATAAAAATAAA